ATGGGATTTTGATTCTGGTGACCGACAGCTTCCAAAATGGTAACTCCTTCAACCAAAAATTGTGTCGACAGCTTCTGGCGACTCCGTTGGGGACTAGTTTTTCTCTCCACTTAAATCAAGAAATCTTATCTTCATACATTGGTAATATGTTCATGTCCCTCAAGAACCAAATTACCCTTCTTCCATTAGCATGCTTTACCCATTTCTATCTTGGGAAAGTACGGTCAACTCTTTTGGACTTCAAAACTGTCTGTTCAATAACCTTTGAACAGAGAGGTTCAAGACGCCGTTAAGGACTTTTTAATCTTCATGTGGGGTCGGACCCCAATAGGTATGTTGGTGGACTAGTTCCACCAGTGCATTGTGTAGTGCATTGTGTGTGTGTGTTGTTAAGTTGGTCCTGCACTGGGTCCTAAGCACTTCACATCTCTTTTTTTACTTTGATTTGTTATTTCACAAATTAAATCGAGTTGTGTCGTACTGTGCACACTTTTAAAATTTCTTTATATTAATCAAAATTTTCTACTTTTAAATTAATTTTACTAAAACTTTAAAACCCTCATAAACTAAATAAAAAAATACTTACCCGGTCTACAGATCGACCTTTATTAAATTTTAGTGCTTGCACTAAGATTATGAGAATTTGGCCAAATAAGTAACACAAGATCTTTCTCTTTTGAAGTTGCTGCAATGGCGTGCCCAACGCTAACTTTTTCCTACAACTTGTCGATGAGCAACAACAACCGCAATGTCATTCCCACCATCAAATTTAGAACCAAATTTGAAGACCTCAAGGTCATCCTCAGGAAAGCCACGTTCGTCATAACGAATGTCGCCGCTCTAAAAGTTTAGGAGCCATCTGTTGAATTTAACCTGAACTGCCTTCAGAACTTCCCTTCTTGTAAGAGGGTCAACACTACTGCCACCAGACACCCACCAAGCCTGCTGTTCCCGCTGATGTTAAGGGAAAATAAGTTATGATCATTAAAGATCCGGCTGAGGGATTGGCTGTCTCGCCATCAATATTTGAAATTGGATCAAGTTCAAAGACTACACTGCTAACTTGAACCCAAAGGAGAAACCGTAATAGGAGGGTTCAGAGGGCTACTAAATCCCAGGCTCCTAAGGAGATACCTATTGAGGAAGATCCTCACCAGGATGAGTTAAGATTACTGGAAACATATCCACTCCTGCGAGGAAGTCGATTCCATCCTTTAATGGGCACCAATGGGTACGAGAGTATCCAAAAAATTGCCGCTACTTTACCATCACTTTATGGACATGGCGAGGAGAGAAAGAAGTCCACTCCTATCACCTGAGTTAGTTCAATTTTCAAGAGGCTAGCTGACAAGGAAGGTTGCTCAGTTTGTGAACTACTCGAAGAAGTGGGACATGCAGTACCCCCTCCCATAAAGAAAGAAATCTTAAGGGACGTCAAATTTGTCAGACGATCTAAGAAATCAACTGAAGCTTTGCCTGCTTGTATTCTTGTCTGGTTCTACTTAGGGAGCAGAGTTGATACCGCTTTTTTCACTACCGATTCTATCGTTACTAAACCCACAGGTCGTCGACCGATTAAGTCACGATTGGATCCAAGAATTCTACCAATCACCCACCTTAAGTATATTCCTAAAGTTTCAAAGGAAAAGATGAAGAAATTACCCAGTATTGTAGTCAGTCTGCACCATGGAGAGCATACTTCTCTTCGACATACCGATGTTTCTGCTGAGGCACTTCATCTCAAGACATCTCCGTCAAAGAAGAAGGTATATATACCCAAGGTCGTTGTACTGATACAGTCCGGTGAGCCCACAAGGCAAGATCATGGAATGAAGCCAGGGTCTGAAGTATCTGACATTATCGCAGCAATTGTCAGCAAGATGGAAGAACAAGAGGAGGAGATCTAGCAGGGCCCTCCAAATCTTAAGGCAATTCAAGAATCAATAATCGAAGGAAAAGTTGAAAAGCTCAGGTTTGAGATTTCTGAATTGGCTCGGGAACATGGAGTCTCCATTGATGATGATGAACACTTTGACTATAATGATTACCTTGAAGAAGATTTCATGAATGTCTATGTCATTGAAATCAGAGTCGCTACATCTACACGTGAGGCTTAACCTCTCATCGAAGAGAATGCCGTAGATGAGTTGTGTAGGGCTATCCTCCTAAGGGATGAGCAAATCATCCAACTGGAGAAAAGGATAGAAGAGATGGCCGCAGCCACGGTCGCCATGGCCACAATTCAAGGACAATATCAACCCCCACAGTTAGCCTCTCTAGAGATCAACTAACCAGAAATTATACATATTACAGATGAAAGAAGAGAAGTTGCCTCATCAAACAAGGATGAGCAATCAAAGAAGGATTCTCCATCGAGCGCCATGCCAGAGAAGAAATTTAAGCAAATGGTCAACCAAGCTCGGGAGGCCTTAACCCAATCTAAGGGTGGCGCAATGGTTTTAAAGGGTAGACCTTACCCAGAAGAATTCGATGTTGTGCTCTTTCCCAAGGGTTTTGTGTCCCCGTCCCCAAATTTTAAGATATTTGATGGGACTGAAAATCTCAGACAGCACATAGCACATTTTCGAGCTAGTTCTGGCAACACAAGAAGTAACGAAGTTTTACTCTTCCAACACTTTGTCAACAGCCTGTCAGGGATTGCTTTCAATTGGTATGCTGATTTGCCCAACGGATCAATTAAGACATTTGTCAAGCTGGAACAATTATTTGTGAAGAGATTTGCCGGAGCACAACACCATGTTTCTATAGAAGTGCTCATGATGGAAAAGCAAAAGCACAACAAGACTTCGGTGGATTACATCTTGAGGTGGAGAAACCTTAGCATGAAGTGTGAACCTCAGCTACAACACGCAATTGAGATTTTACTCAAAAGCATTCATGGGCCAATAGCTTTCATGCTCAAGGGACTCACCATCAAATCCTTCAAGAAGCTACTTAGCAAAGCCAGTAGTCTTCAAGAGATCTTCAAGAAGAAATCAAACATATGGATTCTCACAAGAAATCCAAGAGAACCAGAGTATTTGCAAATAAGTTAGGAACTGTAGTGACTGTCGATAAAGGAAAACAACCAATGAAGATATATCCAGAAAATCCACGCTAATCTTCACAGCATGCTTAGAAATAGAGTAGTCAGTCCAACCAGCGACCGCCTCAAGGAGGGTCATCTCAAACAGAGAATAAGAGTATCTTTGGTAGAGAGATAGAAAGTGGTGTATTCCTTCAAAGATGAAGCTGTATCCAAAATGTTCAAAAGTTTGATGAAGAAGTTGATGAAGAAGTTGATGAAGAAGCCTGAGTTCAGACTACCAAATCTAAAGAAACCCGAAGAGGTCGATAAGAAAGATCAACCAAATTATTACCCAGACCACAGGTTGCTTGGGCACACTATAGAAGAATGTTTCATCTTTAAGGATTGGCTCAAGAAGAATCTTAAAGAAGGGAATATAACGATCCCAAAAGAATATTTAAAATAACCTAAAAAAGTTTCATAAATATAATTTTGGCTGAGCCAATCTCTCCGATTGATCCATATACTGGAGAAGATGGATGTATTACGACTTGGGATAAGCGTAAGAGGGTCGTAAACCAAATCCAGGATGCATCAAAACAATCTTCCGCATATACTAGAGAAGATGGATGGAATGCAGTCTGGAGCAAATCATCCAAGAAAATATTGAACCAAATCCAGATGCTTCAAAACAAGCCTCGGTTCAAAATCTTCAGCCTGTCAAGCCCGAGACGAAAATTTCACCAGGAGATTCATCATCATCAAAGACAAAGAAGAAGAAGAGCACCATT